CAACAACAACAACAAGCACAAACACAGCAACAGCAACAGCAACAGCAACACCAACAGCTGTCCGTGCACGATGGTAAAAAAAGACGTTGTCCCGACAAAAACCTGAGATTACGTACGTTTTACGCAAGTTAGCAAGTTCATGTAGGCCTTGCCGCGGAAAACCAAGAGGAATCACACCAAATCCGTCCAAAATGTAAGAAAACAGTGTTTTCCCGAGGAAAATCAAGGACAAGAATATGTTTTTGCGTAGGAAAACCAAAGAAATTCACACCAAATCCGTCCAAAACGTAAGAAAACTGATACTGATACGTTCTATGCAAGTTAGCAAATTCATGTAGGTCTTGCCGCGGAAAACCAAGGGGAATCACACCAAATCCGTCCAAAATGTAAGAAAACAGTGTTTTCTCGATGAAATCATGGACAAGAATATGTTTTTGCGTAGGAAAACCAAGGAAATTCACACCAAATCCGTCCAAAACGTAAGGAAACTGATATTTTCCCGATGAAAAACCAAAGAAAAGCAACCAAAAAACAAAAAAATGACCCGAAAAAAATCCATCCATAAGGCCGTATCGATTAGAACGATACGAATAGCACAGCATGAACAGCTTGTCTAGGTTACGGTCTTTCAGCTTCAACCGCGCTCTCCTTGGATTGCTTCCTACACCTATATGGGGGTTTCCGAAATTAGGGTCACTTTATTTGGGGTCCTTATTATATAGAAGGGGATGCTACCATTTGGAAGTCTGCATTAAAATCCCTTATTATCGTAATTCGCCATATCGCAATGGATTTGAAAGCTGGCTGGGCACTTGGCACACTCTTCTGGACATTCAGTCGTTTCTTGCAATCCGTCCTGGCTCCTGCGCTAGGTAAGTCACGATTCGCACGGCCACACCTTCAACGTGTCAGGTGCTTGGCCAGCAATGTGCGCAGACGGATTCGGACTGACCCCGCATTCTCGCCACGTTCCGGAAACGTTCAAGTTTCCAGCAGTTGTATCAGGAAGAAGGGCCCGTCAGACTGTGCTGTATTTAGCCCATATGGGCAGCATGAATTGCGAGCAGATATGGGACCCAAACTAGGCTTGGCAGTATCAGCGGGCAATGCATGTCTGGGACCAGTTTTGGCAGTCTCGGCGGGCGTGGGTCATACTTGTGCCGTGCGGTCAGATGGTCAACTCGTCTGCTTTGGAAACAACCAATATGGGAAATGTGACGTGCCAGCAGATTTGGGACCAGTTTTGGCAGTGTCAGCGGGCGGAGAACATACATGTGCAGTGCGGTCAGATGGTCAACTCGTCTGCTTTGGAGACGGCGCTTTTGGGAAATGTGACGTGCCAGCAGATTTGGGACCAGTTTTGGCAGTCTCAGCGGGCTGTGATCATGCTTGTGCAGTGCGGTCAGATGGTCAGCTCGTCTGCTTTGGACGCAACATTGAGAGCCAGTGTGGCGTGCCAGCAGATTTGGGACCAGTGTTGGCAGTCTCAGCGGGCTATGCACATACATGTGCAGTGCGGTCAGATGGTCAACTCGTCTGCTTTGGAAGCAACCATGAGAGCCAGTGTTGCGTGCCAGCAGATTTGGGACCAGTGTCGGCAGTCTCAGCGGGCATATATCATACTTGTGCAGTGCGGTCAGATGGTCAGCTCGTCTGCTTTGGACGCAACTTTGCGAGCCAGTGTGACGTGCCGGCAGATTTGGGACCAGTGTTGGCAGTCTCAGCGGGCGGAGCACATACATGTGCAGTGCGGTCAGATGGTCAACTCGTCTGCTTTGGAGACGGCCAACTTGGGCAATGTGACGTGCCGGCAGATATTTTGGCAGCTTCCGCGGGCGATTATCATACCTGTGCAGTGCGCTCAGATGGTCAGCTTGTCTGCTCTGGATGCAACTTTGCGAGCCAATGTGACGTGCCAGCAGATTTGGGATGTACCTAACGACCGATCATGCAGAAAACGTTAAAGAGTGGGTCGTTTGGTCATGTGGGAGTTTGAGTTGGGATTTTAGGGAGATCGGGGTTGAGGCATAGGTTGTTATGGTTTGGGGGCTAGGGGGTGGTGCATGGTTACAAAATGGAAATGATATCCACTCACTAACTTAGAAAGTGTAGCCAAAACCTAAAAACTTCAACCCACAACCACAAAGTACCCTACCCAAAGCGCCAGATAGGGCCAAGACGAAACTGTAAGTGCTGCTGCTGCTGCTGCTGCTGCTGCTGCTGCTGCTGCGGCTGCTGCGACTGCTGCGGCTGCTGCTGCTGGCGCCCTGCTGCTAGTACTACAAGTACTACCAGCACATCTAGTACCATTAGTACTACAAGTATTTCAGTTGGTTTTCCCAATAGTCTCGGCAGCAGCAGAAACACAATTGCAGTTTTCATGCTGGGCGGCTTATTGATCGTTGTTGATTGCAAGGTAATCTTTGTACAACAGAATGAAACCCTCCGCGTTTTGCGTTAGTCAAATCTCCCTAACGCACAGGTTCCAGTCATTCGTGAATCTAAGCGGAGTTTACACTACACTATACGACATAATGTATGTTGGTCCAATGTAGAGCAAGGGAGGTGAGACATGCGCTTTCGAGCCTCCGTCCCAGGGGCCCTCCCAGTTGTTCAAGATCCAAAACACAGGCCTATGACCAAGTATGAAATAAGGCTTAAACCCCAAACCTTAATCCCTATCGCCTTACAAGGGTGCCCAAAAGGATTCTGTAGATTTTCATACATTAGTTCATGTAGGGTTTTTGGGTTGTTGCACAGGTCTGAATAGTTGGTACTCCTTCCATTTACCCTTTTGATTCATCATTCCATTCTAGCTTTGCATAATTTAGCCGTCGGAGATTTTCATGCATTTGGCATAGTATAACAAAACGAACTGTCATACGATAGAGGATAAGGCAGTATATTGCAGCATAATATAGTATAATCTTATAATGCAATTCTTGGGTCGCAGGGAGCCCGAGCCTTAATATAGGGGCCTTAATAATCAGAATGGGGGTTTTCGGGATTCCTTCTTATAACTATAGTATAATATACCCCCAAACCCTCTTCTTCTAATTATTAAGGCCCCTATATTATCCATGCCTGGAGCCGCACGACATAAACAGATGTTGGTATGCGATAGTTCATTCTACTGTGGTCTGTTCTGTTCTAGTGTAGTATATCGCAATACAGTATGGGTTTTGTAAAGTACAGTGTTGTCTTGTATGGTATAGTATAGCATAGCACAGTCTAGTCTAGTATAGTATAAGATAGTAAAGTAAGCCTTCATTTGTTTATTGAGTTCACTGAGTTCAACATTCTAGAATGCAGCCTAGACCCATCTCCTGGTTATCCAGCGGTGCTTAGACCCACCTTTATTGGACATCCAATTCATGGTAAGGGTCGTTGAGTAAGACACTTTCGGTACGGGGGTCCCCCGGGGACCAAGGAAAGAACTTATGCTGGCGCGTGATGTGCAAAACCCACCACACACAAGCACACGCGCGCACACACACAAACGCACACACACGCACAAATACGCACACACACGAACCGACCCTAAGCTCTATTGGCCTACACCTTGAACCCGAAACCCCGGATTCTCAACCCAAGCGCCCCAACCCCTCAAACCCAAAGCCCTAAGCCTCCGCAAGCCTTCCAAAGCCTAGAGCCTTCTCCTAAACCTCTACATGCTGCTAGGAACCGGCAAAGCCCTCATGCTTTCCACACTCTAAACCCTAAACCCTATAAACCCTATATATCCTATAAGCCCTAAAAGCCCTAGAACCCCCTAAACTCTAAAGAAACTCTCAACCACAGAGGACCCTAAACTGGAGCCTTCTTGGATTCGCAAGGCTGGCTGCAGGGCTTTGTCTGAGGCGCCGCAGCGGAGGGCTTCGAGCTCCTTCGGAGTCCATGTGCCCATTCAGTACATGTCGTAGGTAATCTTTAACCTGTGTGGGTACATGAAAAATTATATATATATATATAAGTATAAATATATACATATACATATATATATATATTTATTTATTTATTTATTTATATTTATATACACATACATGTAGAACCCTACCCTACTAAACGGTTTACCTTCCTGGGCCGTGTAGCTAGGCCCTCGGTGTATGCTTTGACCCTCAGAGTGGCGATGTAGTACTACATAGAACCACTTTTCAGGTCCATGTAAAGACTACCCAGACCTTCCAATATCTCTTAACTAACCACATTAGGGATCCTACTGTAGTTTAAGGTACTTTCCTTAACTAAGTGAGATTGATGTAGGGTTTACGGTTTAAGGCTCTCGTACAGAAGCTATGGTTTTCTGTGGTTCAGCTCGGGGACTCACAGGAAAGTCGGGCTTGTCTGTTGCTGCAGAGGGCATCAGGTCGCGGCGAGGCTCGGATCGTAGGCTGTCGCTAGAAGCATCCTGAACTTCGTGACATGTGACCAGTAGTAGTAGTAATAGTAGTAGTAGTAGTAGTAGTAGTAGTAGTAGTAGTAGTAGTATTAGCAAACTTGTTGAAGGTACCTTGGAGGCTCTTAGGATTTAGAGGATTTCGTCCTCGCCGGAAAAGCAGAAATCGTCGTATACGACAGCGTACCGGCCGCATGGACATGCAGGCTCTCAGCAGCATGTGCTGAAACCCTAAACCCTAAAGGCCCGAAACCCTCAGGGATCTTGCGAAATGCATGGGCTCGATTCGGCCTCGATCACCCATGATTCGGCATGGGAAGCCAGACCTGGTTTAGGTTTGGGGGTTCAGGCTTTTTTTCGCGCCTATGGCTCTTCCTCGAGGCAGATGGCCAAACAGGTGCTTTTCAAAGCAATTCCGGCGAGGCCCCGGCCCTCTGCGCCGAATACCAGACTCACCTTGACCTTCAGGCTGGCCTGCCTTGAAGCTTCCGGGTTCGGAGGTTTGGGTGTAGGAACGCTGCTGCGCACCCGGTTAGCAGTAGACTTCGTCGTGGTGGCGGTGGCAGTGGCAGTAGCAGCAGGAAAAGGGAGGAACAGAAGTAGTGGTGTAGAGTTTGGGAGACTCTTCCCAGTGGTTTGCCGGACTTGGATTTCATTGAGGTTTTGACAGGTTCGTGATGAGCCAGCTTGACAGTGATGTATCAATGCCTCCAGCTGCCTCCATCCATTCAGCCTTCTACGCAATGCAAACTAATCATTTAGGTCTTTTGGATTTAGGGCTTGTTGGGTTTAGGGCTCAGTGATCAGGGTCTAGGATCCCTCATTCTTGACAGGGGCTTGGGCTGACTGTGCTCCAGGCACGCTGCTCAGCAACTAAGGGTCTCCAGCTCCAGGGGCTTTCGATTTCGAGCTCAGTCCCTCTGGGGTTTTAGGCTTCAGGGTTTAGGGTGTCGATGTCGAGTTTAGTCCTTGTGGGGTTTAGGGTTTTAGGGCAGTCCTTGTAGGGTTTAGGGTGTTAGGGCTTGGGGTGTCGATTTCGAGTTAAGTCCCAGTAGGGTTTTAGGGTTGTGGGTGTCGATGTCGAGTTCAGTCCCTACAAGTATTTCGACGACTACGGCGGCGACCAAGGCAATGCAACCCCTAAACCGTAAAAACCCCAAAACCGTAAAAACCCTAAAGCCGAAAAAAATTCAAAAACCTAGAAAACCCTAAAACAATTTAAAAACCCGAAAACCCTAAAAACCCCAAAAAACCCTAAAAACCCCTAAACCCCTAAAAAACCCAAGACCCAAGACCGGGAGCTTGGCTCTCGTGGCAGAGTAGAGCTCCCTGGTAATGCCGTGAGCCCGGGCCCTGAGTTACTTGGGTAGTTGTCAAAATTATGGTCCCTTTTGGGGTTTAGGGTTTAGGGTTTAGGGGTTTAGGGTTTAGGGTTTAGGGTTTAAGGGTTCCCTAAACCCTAAACCCTAAACCCTAAACCCTAAATTATAGGTGCCGTATTATAATAAGGACCCAAAAAGGGGACCATAATTTTGACAACCACCCACTTGGAGGATCATGGGACTTCGTAGGGTTCCTTTAGTAGGGGTTGGGGTTTGGGAGTTTTAGGGTTGTAAGGTTTAGGGTTTGGGGTTTAGGGTTTTAGGGTTCATGGGACTTAGTAGGTTATAAGTCCCTTAACTGGGGTTATAAGTATAGTTACCCTAATTATAACCCTACTTACTAAGTCCCATGATCCTTGAAATACGTCCCATCCCGTTCAGACCGACATGTTGAGGTTCAGAGCAGCTTGGGGAGTTTAGGGGTTTAGGGCAGTTTAGGGCATCGGTTTTAGAGTTTGGGGTTTAGGTACTTGGAGTTTCAGAAAGCTGGGTCAATTGTGACTTAGCTCCTTAGAGCACAGACCTGCTAAAGCGGGGATCCCTACCTGGAAGACGCGCAGGCTCTTCCGAAACCCTAAACCCTGACCGCCCCAAGCGCCCTAAACTCTAAGCCCTAAACCCTAAATCCTAAACCCTAAAACCTAAAACCCTACACCCTAAAACCCTAGAGCCCTAAACCCTAAAGCCGTAAAGCCTTAAGCCCTAAACCCCACCCCCAGGGCCTGCAGATATCTTCAGTCGGCTTCCCTTGTGCCGAGGTGCTGGTGGCGATGCTTCCAGAAGAGGGCCTTGCACCTTCCCCGCAACGCCGAGTCTTTGGGGTTTAGGGTTCAGGGCTTTAGGGTTCAGAGTTTAGGGTTTAAGGGTTTAGGGTTTGGGGTTTAGGGTTTAAGGGTTTAGGGTTTAGGGGTTTAGGGTTCAGGGCTTTAGGGTTTTAGGGCTTAGGGGCTTGCAGGATCTAGGGCTTAGGGCTTTAGGCTTGTAGGTGCTTCGTCGGTTAGGGGTTTAGGGTGTTGGGTTTAGGGTTCAGGGTTAGGGTTATTTGGTTTGGGCTTTGTGGGCTAGGGTTCATTCAGTCAAGGTTTGTACACTGAGAACACCAACGGCGGTGAAGTTTAAGCCGACAGGCAGAAGCTCTCAAGATACAGTCTAGGGTTTAGACTCTTCATGAATGCATCAGAACCTGTTGTCAGCATCTGTGCAGATGTAGGGCTTCACAGCTGAATATCTGGTTGTTGTTGCTTTGAGCTTGAAATCTTGGCGCTAAAACTGAACGGCTCACGTCGGCGAACATGCAGGTACTGGAGCGGGGTAGTGGAAGATCTGCAGAATCGATGGGTGTCGCATGCGCAGCCCAATATAAGCTCTCTATTTACGATTCTTGAACAGCCTTGAACCTGAAACCCACGTGCCTCAACTAAAAATCCGCGTAGATAGATCCTAAAACCGATACCCTAAACTTCACATCGGCAAGTGTTCCGAACAACGAGCCCTCTACTGCAGAGGTGCTGCGAGAGCTACGCACTTTGCAGGACTGCTGCCCCTCTGTCACTGCCTATAACAGATGCAGTAGTTACATTTCGAAGTTGCGGAGCGTTGGATGTTGAGGTGGCCCATTTCTCAGTCTTCGAGGCTTGATCTTTCGATTCCGAATCTGTCCGGATCCCCGAGGTCCCAAATAGGAGAAGTTGCCGGGTGCACACTAAACAGCGGAATGCCCTGAATTTCTTGGAGGTTCCTGACCTCGGATACGCGAAACCAAGGCCAACTGGGACTAACAGGAGGGCAAAAGCTCTACGTTTACCCTCTTTTCAACTGCGCGAGACTTTTGCTTTCGGCGTTCAAGCTTCACTAAACCTGAAACCTTGGACATTTTGGGGTTTAGGGTTTAGGGTCAGCATTGTCGTTCAGGATGCATGGACCCAATACTGGGACGATGCCACGGAGTTCTGGTCCGCACGAAACTCAGCCCTTGATACTTTGGGGTGTGTTGTTAACTAAATCCTTCTGCCAGAAGCGAACTATGCGAGGCTGGAAACCTGGTACTCAAATCCGTACAATCGCTGTCAAGCAACATAGAAAGCAATTGAGTCGTCTGACACTTAACCGTCCTGGCACGAGGTATAACTAAAAAGCAAGCTGCCTTGGGCAAGCTCCTGAGCCCCACTTTCGCACAGGATGTATCTTGAAAGGTCGGAATGGTTTCATCTGCAGCCGTTGCTGACAACATGCGGAAGGTTAAAAATAACCATCCCATCAATTTGTATCACCGGCCTCGGGCCTCAGTCCTGATCTGTAGGGTACTGCTATGCCAATAGGCACAACGCTGCGTGTTGCTTGGATGCCACCTCCATTTAATTTTTGAGGAAACAAGTAGTAAGCCGGATCCCCCGCGATCTGGCGAGTAGCGAAGTGCAATCGACGAATCAGCCCTGCAGCCGCGGCCCCTGCTCCTCTAGCATGAATCACGTGTTAACCGAAGCAGCCGAAGTAGCATGCAAGGATTCCTTGAGGTGGATAGCAATGTTCGCTGCGCATGTTGCCTGCGTCGACCTACTGCAGTCAAGAGAACCGAATATTGAACATGCCAGTCGATGAACGCCGGTGGACTTACGAGTTCAAGCTCTGAACCAGCTCTGGGTCTCTCCACCACATCCCAAGCCAAGCACCGGAAACTCAAGTTTGCTGTCGTTGGTTGATGGTCGCAGGTGAAGCGGGCATTGGTTTCAGGTTTCAGAGGCGCGGCTTCCAAGCTTGCACCATGCATAGTAATCCCTAATTAACGCAATCATTAAAATTACCGTAATATCAGCCGCCTGAGGCACTGCTCAATACTTTCCGTCACGGAGGGGATTGGTCCCTGCTGAAGCAGGACCGGGGCCATTCGCCGAGGGTCACGGTGCAGAGAACTTGGAGTGGAAGTCGGTTCAGCATTAAACACATGAGTAGAAGCGGACTTGATTCCTCCAACACTGCCAAGTTTCATGCGTCTCCCTTCGATCGCATGGGAGCTTTAGGATCTTCGTACTTTCGACTCAGCACCTCAGCTTTGACCCACCGTCCTGGGCTTCATTGCCTCCTACAGTTTAGGATTTAGGGTTTTAGGGCTTAGGGCTTAGGGATTAGATAGCCTCTTCTGTTTTTTGAGACGCTAGATTCATAGGAGCAGGCCAAGACGGTTGGTGGGTGCCTGGAAGTTGCCCAAAAACTGCTGGAAGAGCCCGGACGAAGGTCAGCATACAGACTAAGCAAGACGGCTCAGGGTTCAGGGTTTAGGGTTTAGGAAAGTTTAGGGTTTAGGGAGGGTTACGCAAGGTTTGTTTTAAGCGTCATAGGGTTAAGAGTTTGGCTTGGTTTTATAACTGGTTCATGCGAAATGAGAAAGGACATGTGACGCATGCAACAACAGGAACCTGGCAGGACAGGAGGGCCGGAGGGGCTGAAATCAAGATCTATTCAGGAGGCCTTTACAGCACCACCCTAAACCCCAAAACCTTCAGCCCAAGGCCCCTGAAAATTTAAAGCCTAAACCCTAAACCCTCAAACCTTAAGGCCAACGCCCCTGAAAGTTGAAAGCCTGAACCCTAAACCCTAACACCTTAAGCCCAACGCCGAAAATTTCAAGCCTAAACTAAACCCTAAAACCTTACGCCCAACACCCCTGAAAATTTAAAGCCTAAACCCTAAAACCTGAAGCCCAACTAAAGCTTGAAGCCCGAAGAGCTGGAGCCCGAAGCCCTGAAGCCCCACACCCTAGGACCTTAAACCCTAAAGCCAGAAAGCCCGATCACCCTGAAGGCCCTAAGCCCTAAAGCTCTGAACACTAAGCCCTAGACTTGACAGTGTTTTTTCTAAGTCAAGGGCCAAGGGGGCCCTTCTTGACCCCACTTATGGCTCTCTTACAAGGGACCTTATTGAGAGCGTCGATGTGCCCAAGGGTCCCCCAATCCTAACTCCTACTTTTGGAACCATGCCCTGTGAGGAGTTTGTGGCTCGCGGCGTCCACCGGATAATGGCCCAGAGGCCACAACAGCTGAATCCAGCTGTTCAAGGGTTAGGGTTTAGGGTAGGGTCTGAATAATCACGCACATGGTGTGTGTTGTCTTTGAGCCCTTTATAACTTATAGTTCTTAATAGTATTACTTTGAAAGCTTGAAATATAGAAATACCAGTGAAATACCTCAAGCTGTTGAGGCCCATAGTCGTGGGGTTTACGGGTTTCGGGATTGTTGGTTGGGCGGCTGAGGGCAGAAAGTGGTTGGCATGAAAAGTCCTTCGTCACCGACTGTTCAGTACCACACAGAACACCAACTGTTTCTCTATATAGAAGCCTGAGTAAGTACTACCCATATTACTGTTAGGGCTCCTTTTTAGAATAATACTATGAAGGCTAAGTATTAAGGCCCCTACATTAGAGGATCACAGTTCTTCGGATCAGGCGATTTGACATATCTTCAGAAGTGGGTGAAGTGCAGGGCCTCAATAATTACGAATACTCTGGTGTGGGTTCCTTATTATGATTGTAGCATAATATACCCCCACACCCTATTCTAATTATTCAGGCCACTACATTACAGAGTGCGGCGTGCATGTGGTAGTTGATCTAAAGCTCCTTGAGCCATAATTTATATGAGCGGCCAACTGCGTAGCAAATATGCCTTCGCGAAAGTTCCGCGATGGTGCCGCTAAATTTACTTTCTTTTTGCGAAAGTTATCTGTTTAGCCTACTTGCCGTACTATTAACTATTACCATTACTATTCACAAGGATTACTGCTGCTACTATTGCGATAACAATTACTATAATTACTGCTACTATTACAATACTATTACCACTACTTTTACTGTTACCAGTACTAGCACTGGTACTATTACTAATGCTGGTACTTGTACTAGTACTATGACTACTACTATTGCTATTACTGTAGCTATTGCTTTCTCTATTGTTAATATCGCGAGTATTGTTACGGTTATTATTATGATTACTATTATGACTACTACCACCACCACTTTCCAAGCTCTTGCTACTGCAACTGCTACTGCTGTTACTGCTCCTGCTGCTGCTGCTACTACCGCTCCTACTGCTCTACCTGCCATACCTACTACCCACAACCTTGTACGACCCACCGCCGACGGCTACTAACTACCTCCCACCTCTGACTTCCTGCCTATTGCTACTGCTCCGGTTCACGCTATGCGCAGTGCCTCGTAGCGCCATCGATCCTAAGTGTAAGCAACGACAAATGCAAAATTTGGTTCCGGTACAGGGTTTAGCGCGTAAGTCCCGCGTAAGCGACGGTAAGGTCGACATTGCCGGATCAAGGCCACCTCCAGATGGACATCGTCAGCAATCCAACCCCTTAAGACAACGAAGCAGCTCCACACAAGCCCTGAAGCCGGTAGGAAAGGCTCCCAGAAACTCTCAATTGATTACGCCCCCAAAGCTTTGCAATCGAGAAGCTTTCAGGAAACGTTCTCAAATTAAGACGCCCTTAGCCAGCCCTTTCCAACTATTGTGGCTTTCACGCATCGAGATTCTTGTAGCTTATAACTCAGGGCTTGCAAAGGTATGTAAATATGCCTTCGCGAAAGTTCCGCGATGGTGGCGGGAAAGTTATTTTTTTATTCTTGAAGAAGGTCGGGATGAAGGAATTTCGATCAACAGCCATGTGTTCTGTGATGCCTTGGAAGATCAGCGCGCGACATCCGCAATGAAGCACCTATCCAAAAGTTGTCCGCAACGAAATGTCGATGGTGCCACAAATCTGAATTACACATCTGATTTACAAAACTGATTACGAAGTTAATATCCGACGGCCGCAGGCTTCCTCTTCTCAGCTTCGAAACCTAGTACTATCAGACAACATGCAGTATAACAACTCAGGTAAATCATCCATCTCTGAAATTCTATATCCTTCGCCCTAGCATATTGAGCTCCTGGTAAGGCTCAAGAAGTTGCACGACGCCCTCAACACCGCACTGAGCGCGGCCGCCGCGGCAAACCTGGACGACGAAGGCAAGCCGGGGTCAAAAACTCCAGGAGGCCTCGGGCTTACTTTAGGGGCCACGGGGTTTAGGGTTTAGGGTTTAGGGTTTAGGGTTTAAAAATTAGAACACGGTTTTGGGGGGTATTATACTTAGGAGCCCATAAAGTAGAAAAAGTAATTATTCAGGCCCCTATTCTCGGGCTTAAGGCTTGGGGTTTAGGGGTTCAGGGTTCACGAGTTTGTTGTTTACAGTTCCATGGGTTCCAAGGAGCCCCAAGTACCCTGCAAAGAAGAATGAGGGGTAGCCGAAGTTCGAGCGGAAAGGTCTGGTCCTGCTACGCAAGAATCATGGTCCGATGTTGTGCGCGTCCTGTGGCTTCACTAAACGAAGCATCCAACCTCTCCGTGTGTTTCGGCTTTGCGAAGCTTTGGTTGCCATTCATCCTAGGCACCCCAAGACCTGTAAATCCCAAGAGGGGCCAGCAAAGCAACCTGTTTAATGTAGCGGCTTTAACATTTACAATAGGGTTTTGAGAGTTCCTGGTTATCAATATAGCATAACATACCCCAAACCCTATTCTAATTATTAAGGCCCCTACATTATCTCAAAAGTCTAAGTCTAGACCATGAGCCTGATAGCCCGAAACGTCAAAGCCCCGCAAGTTCAGGTTTAGGGTTTAGGATAACCCTAAGCTCTGACTATGCTTGGTCCAGAATCTGGCCGTGTTGCGCCTATGGACAGAAGGGTTGCCGTGAATATCAGTGAATCCTGTCGAGTTTGTACACATCAGGTTTTGGGCTTCGAGGTTTTTATGGTTCAGTGCTATGGGCATTTAGGATTCATGGTGCTAGGTTTAGGGTTGTTCGGATTTGTTGGTTCAGTTTTCCGCTGGGTGTGTAGAAGGCTCCCGCAAAGAGGCCCGAGGGTTTAGAACTTATGTAGAATTTCAGAGCTTAGGGTCTTGCGGCTTTGAGGCTTTAGGGCGTTGGCGTTTGGCTTTCGGGGAATGTCCTTGCCTTGAAACTTGGGGCTGCGCCACTGCGCTCGACTGTACATGTATGAATTCATCACTAGTGCGACTTGTTCAGCTCACCGTCCTCACTGCGCGGCACCTGCCGAAGCGGTCACCCGAGGCGAGGCAGTCGATGCAGATCTGGCAGGATTCTTTCGAAACTTCCTGTATTGTTGGCACGGTAGAGGAGTACTGGCACATTCTCTTGTGTTATTTCTTTTCCTCTCTTGGATACCATCTTCATCGTCGAGAGCTCGTCGTTCTGGTGAGTTTGATCCGCCTTTCTTCTGTTTGCACCTGCACTAGTGACCATCTGGCGTAAGCAGACTTGCGTGCAGCATGTTTCCCGTCGTGGTCCAGGTGAGGCAGGCGTAAGAAGTGTCTGCATAATATGTCTGCTTGCATGCCTAGACATGTATGCGTGTATACAAGTCAGCACATGTGCACTTGCACCTGCACATATGTCTGTAAGGATGTAAGTATGTCTTTCTGTCAGTATAGAAGTATGCAGGTGTTTATGCATGTATGTATACATGCATGCATGTGTATATGTATGTACGTATGTATGCATTCATGTAAGTATTTATATGTGTATGTACGTTTCTATGCATGTATGTATGTATGTATGTATGTATGTATGTATGTATGTATGTGTGTGTGTGTGTGCGTGTACATGTTTATGCATGTATTACGTAAGTCCGTCCGTCTGTCCATTTATGTCTCTGCATTCATGTTATTATCTATATGTATATATATATATATATAGATACACTTATGATACATCCTTACATACACGCATAAGTGTGTAGTCGGTTGAATTTGCTCATGTCATGAGCCGTCTTGAACCATGCCTAAACAACTAACTATAATAACAATGTCATTCTAGTTCGTTGTTTAATGTCACATTATGAAACCATTCACATGGGATACACCGCTGTAGAAAGTGAAAACTCTGGAGACCCTTGGTTGAAGTCAGTTGCGGCATCATCTGCTTCTGTTTATAACCTGCTTGATAAGTATCAGGTATGAAAAGCTGGCAAAACCAACTAGGCATCATGCACTTTCCACTGCTGTACCTACACGTAGTATGCCCCGAGCTTCGACTGGAAACTGGCAGCCACGTTTTCTCGCAATAATAGACCTTGTCGAGAGACCGTCTCTCTCACGCACGCTGCAGGCCCCTCCTTGGCGTTGGTTTGGTCGAAGCCGGTCGTTGTTTTGGCATCATGTGCCGCGACAACTGGTAGAGACTTCCTTACCTGGTCTTGTTCCACGTTCGCCAGTGTCGAAGTTCTGAGGACAATTCACCACTACCTCCTGGCTATATGTCCATATGACTGGTTCGGAAGGTTTCTTCACCATCACGATGCATTAGATCAACAAAGCAGCTGCATGCGGAAAAGGCACCAGCGACTGGCCTCACGGCTCTGCTGGCCTGTTGTGGGCCCGGCGCTCAGCCGCAATCGGCTTTGGGTTCCCGGGTGTAAGGTTTTAGGGTTTAGGGTTTAGGACAGCCATCGCTGCCTGCCGAGGCTTTGCTAGCCATGGTCAGCTACGGCGAAGAAAGTCTGGGCTCTCAGTCTTTCTGAAGGTTTCGGCTCGGGAGGGCCGGTGTAAGAGATTTTGGGGCTTTAGGGTGTTTAGAGTTTAGTGTTTTGGGGCCTAGGGTTTTGCGACGGGGCTTCGGGTTTAGGGGCTTGGAGTTTCAGGGTTTGGGGCTGTGGATGGTTGTAGAGTTTTGACTGCCGACATATGTCTAATCTGTCGCGAGAGCCTGAGCCTCAGCCGCAAACTGTCAGGCATCCTGAACCGAAGGATTAGGTTCCAGAGGGGGCTCATACGACTGGTTTATCGGGACTAAGCTCCTGTTGCGTTGGGATTAGGAGGCCCACACAAACGAACTTCCAGTGATCCCAAGATCAGGAGCTGAGCCAGCTCTATGGGGGGAGGTCATCATGCGTCTAGGCAGGAGACTCCAATCAAGAGTTACGGGTTGAAGGGTTGAGGAGTTCGGAACGTGGTTTTCATGAGCTCATGAGTTCCATGTTGGTTAGGGCTGCAACGTGGTCTTGGGGTCAGCCAGCGGGCTTAAGATTGAATTCTGTCGGACACGCTTGGGTGCACACGCTGCAAAAAAGGGCTGTTGAATGCTGTGGATGAGGTGAAGTTGCTTCAACGCTCTTTCCATGGGTAAGTTCATGGAAGAACGCACCGACTCTGCTTCAGTTTTACTCGAGTCCTCAGTAGCTCGGAGAGCCATCCTTCATGTCCCTGCCACCCTTAAGATTTCTCAGCTTTTTTTTCAAGTCACAGAACTCGTGGGCTTAGTGTTTTAGACCCAAAACCCTCAACCCTTCACCCTGGACCCCTAAACCCCAAAACCCTAAACTTGAGCCATTCGAGCATGCCGCAACTTCGGCTTCGAAGACCCGTAGCCTAAACCTCAATTAAAAGCTTCGGGTTTCGGGCTTTCGAGTGATCTTGCCGCCGGAAGAGCCTTTCAAAAGCACCCACCTAAACCCCAAACCCTAAACCCGAAACCCAATCACCCTCAAAAGCAGGCCGCAGCGAGCCTCGTCAACATGGCGGCCTTCGCGCGCCTGCGGCAAGGCTGTTCGGAAGCTTTGGAGACTGCTGGGGGTCTTCTTCAAAAGGGTTCTTTTAGGGTTCTAAGGGTTTGGGGTTTAGGTGTTTCGGGTTCGAGGGCTTAGGATTTGCGAGGTTCCTGCATTGGCTTGGGGTGTGGCGAAGATTGACGTGAACCTGTGATTGAAGATTTTCCATACGAAATCTGAGAGTTTATGGTTGATTGCACATCTAGATGTGTCGCGAGTGTCGGGGGTTAAACATACGGAAAGGACTGTTGCGAGGGATGGAAACTGCTGGTTTGTTCGATTTATTCGCTTATATCTCTAAGCATAACGCAGTGCAGCTGGATGGAATGTAGCATACGGAGTGCAAGCGGTGTGGACTGGTGGTCTGAAGATAGACGAGATGTAGCGTGGGCCAAAGTTTGAATGATGCAGGAGCCGAAATCCCTGTGCTGTGCTGTACATCTTCGGTTGAACATGTAAAGCATGTGAACACTATACACTGCAATAAGACATCATGTTGCTCGTAACGAGAGCAAATACAAAACAGTATATCGTACGGCCGAATACAGCATGATGGCATAGCTAATGGCATACAACGTGCAATTTCTCGCGCAGTGTTCATAAATGCAGGTTGCGCTGCACATGTGCAATCTACGAAGGCAGTTAATGACATAGTGCGGCACGCACTCTCCTGCATCTCCAGCCCTCGCATCTGCTAATTTGCTCCGCAGGTCTCGCATGAAGGCGGCACCTCCCGAAGGACTTGCAAACCTGACCAAGGCAATGGTTCGGGTTTGAATCCTAAAGCCCCACAAACCCTAAAGCCCTAAACCCTGAAACACGTAAACCCTAAAATGCGAAGACCCTTTGCTTCCGCTCTCGACTAGTGTCGTGATGTTCGAGGCCATAGTTAGGATTTAGGACTTAGGATCAGATTCTGAAAGCTGCAGGAAGCTAGGTTCTAGCTTCCTTTCCCAAACCTCGAGAAGTTTCGGGGCACCTAGAGTAATAATAATTACTCAATTTGTTGTAACAATTGGGCTACCTGGCTCTGATGCATTGGCAGGGCAAGGTGCCCCTCTACTCTAGCTGCCTTCAGTGTCTGGGTGTTCGCATGATATTCTGAAAGGTCTGGGCTTGGATTGTGTGGGCATGGCGCTGGTCCGAAGTTTCACAACTGTGAGTGTGCGTGAGGTAGGTAGGTAGGTAGGTAGGTAGGTAGGTAGGTAGGTAGGTAGGTAGGTAGGTAGGTAGGTAGGTAGGTAGGTAGGCGGGCAGGCAGGCAGGGAGGTAGGCAGGTAGGTAGGCAGGCAGGGAGGTAGGCAGGCAGGTAGGTAGGTAGGTAGGTAGGTAGGTAGGTAGGTAGGTAGGTAGACGTCAAAGGCAAGTATGTCGACAGAGAGACGGGTAAGACCGATCTTCTCATATTGAACATGCTTTCTGCATGTATGTTGCCTATGGCATGTGCAGCGCCCTGTAGACGAGTGATCCAGGGATCTAACTCCTCGGCGTCCGAGATGTCCGAAGCTCGCTTTGGGGCTCATGCCATGTCCATGTTACAATGGGCATCCTCTTGAACCATTGTGCCTTGTGTGCGATCTCTTGCTGAAGACAAAGTTCTCTGGTGTTCTGTGTCCAAAGCCTTTGCGTCGGGGTCTGCGGGAAGCTGCCGCTTCGCCTGCCACGAAGACTTCGACTCATAACGGCCGCAGAATCCTTAAATCGCAGAGCTCGTGCGACAAATTGTAGAAGACATGTGTGTATACATATACATACAAAAAGTACGCACATACATTATGGTATGTTAGGATGTTCTCATATGTTGGAGTAGGTTTTCACAGCTCGCCACAGCTTCTTGAATGTTGAGGCACCACGGTTGTTAGAGTACCTCAACAAGCTGCGAGACCTCACCGGCAAGGCCGGCGTTGAGCAATTTAGGTTCTGGGGTTTGGAATTTAGGCTGAATTTATCCTGAGAAATACGTTCACATGCTTTGTATGATTTTGTACACTACGCCATACCATTCGAGTGTTAAGTGTTTCAACCTCAAGCTCGCTTAAGGCCCATAGCACAAGAGTGTTAGAGTCGAGAGGGCAGAAGCACTGAATGTCTAATGTAGCAGGCTCAACAGGACCCCAAGTTCCTGCGCCGCCATTCGTGCCAGCATCCGGTTCCTCCTCGGAGGGCGCCCAGGCCAGGGAGTCGAGACCGCCCGCCCTGCTGCAGTCGCCCGCGCCGCCATCTCCCACGGCATCCGGTACCTCCAGGACAGTCTGGCTCCGCCCCGAGTGTGTCCAGTACCCAGGAGTTGAGACCGCCCGGCCCTGCCACAAGTGCCTGACGCACAACGCTTGCATGGCCCCCTCACCGGGCCTCAAGCCCGCCAGACTTGTCTTCCACAGCCTTTGCGTTTTGACACTCCTTGCAGGGATCCTCAACTCACCCGCCCTCTCAGGCGCTGGCCCCAGCTCCCACCGCACGGCGAGAACCCCGCCATCGGAAGGAGGCGACGGCGCGAGCTCACCCGTCACTTGAACTCAGCCTGGGCTTGCAGCGCTCCAGGCTTGGCCCCAAACCTCTGGCACCCCCGCTCCTCGTCCAACCCTCCGACGTCGACGAGGCACCCTGTTCCAGGCTCAACGCCGCAACTGGTGCCATGATGCCAGCCGACGGCTCTGGTCGGGTTGGCCGAGCCGGGGCGTTTGACATGGTGAAGCCTCGCATTCGGGACTTGGCTCCACGCGCGCCCGCTCTGCGTTACTCGGGCGCCACCGCCGCGGTGCTCCCAACTCTGAAGCTCGTCTGCCCGCCCCAATGCACATGCCCGCCACACGCGCCGGTACTGCCTGTCCGCCCTGTTTCTGTGGAGAGCCGCGTCTGGCCCCGTCTCGCGTAGCAGTGTCCGCCACACGTGCCGATACTACGCTTTGTGCAAAGCTCGTCCCTGACCAATTGCGACAACAATTACTGATACTATTCAGGGTTCCAAGTATTTCAAAGTAATTGGCCCCTGTATTCGGCTAGAGCGTGTAACCGGCCCAGGTGAACGAGCTTTCACAGGACTTCAAGAAGTCGGTAACCAAGCGTTTGCTCACTGGTGAGGGTTCCGGGCCCCGGGATCAAGGTTGTGGGAATTAGTGGCATGGTTCTTCATATAAACTTCTAGTGCTATCCGGGGACCATTTTCTGAAACTATGCGTAGGAGTTCACGAAGATGGTTGCAGCAAAAGATCCCAAGCCCCTATCGCGAGCGGCATTTCGAGTTTCGCGGTTTACACCATGGTGAGCTATTTATTTCATCACTGCTGAACGCACTTGCTGCTTTACTGTGGCTGTCAATAAGTCTTCTTAGTAGTGGTATTGATTTTTTTATTCGTTTCGTCATCCCAAACACCGCCATTAACCCCGCGATTATGTTGATGACTGCGGATTGTCACTGGCTGTGCAGACGATCACCGTGATGCCGTCCATTTTCACATCATCACCACCATCTCCCGAAGTGCATATCTTTCACGAGAAGTAATGGTAAGTGCTGAACCCCCAACCCTTCAATATGGAAGCATAAATAATTACTAAAACTATTTTGGGGGTTCCTTGAAATAACTAAAGTACAGTATACCCAACAACCCTTTGTTATTGCAAATACTAAGGCCCCGACGTTACACCCTACAGCCTAAAACACTTTTCGTTGCAAGTAGCTGTATCAGCCGAGTGTAGCGCCTCGAAAGGGCTTCGCCACCGAGGTTGACAGCGTTCCACGCAAATGTCGTAAAGAACTGAAAAGTGTCCGGGGGACAAGATTGAGGATTCGTCGGTCGTAAGTCTAAAATTTTAAATAGCTTACAGAATGTAGGAATTTCAAGATTTGAAACAAATTAATTCATCGTTCTCATAATGGACAGAAAGTTTCTGAAGTAATATACATAGTTTGATAAAGATTTTACTATACGAAATAAAAACTAAAAATATAAATAAATCTAATATAAATAAATAAATAATTCCCTAATAAAAACGAAGTCGTCGTGCTGATCGCATCTATTTTTATATGTGCGCCCTTGATTCTCTGTAATTTCGGTTAGAGAGGTTTGTAGCAGGATGATGTCACAGAATGGCTCCGCCACATTTCCCACACCCTCAACGGCCCTGCAATACAGGGAGCCTGGGCAATAAGACGACCCCAATTGCATGGAGGCCACAGAGTCATGGATGTTTCTCCAACCCAGCCATACATCACCATGAACATTGATGGAGTTCAAAATCTACAAGAAGTCATGAATCAATGGAGTGGTGAGGGAGAAGATGTCAAACAGGCCCTGCTAAGCCTTCCTGAGGTTCTGATGATCAGTCTGGTGCGCTTCAAATTTGCAGGAGGGCTCCGCGTAAAATGCGACAAACAGTAGTGCCCCAGTCCAGAGTCAGCTTGCCCATCTTTGCAGCTCCAGAGAACTTGGATAATGGGGAAGGGGTGCCGATGCCTTCAGCCCCGGGCCGCCTTACTACTCAAGAGCATGTGTTACAAGGTGGCATCATACACATTGGTGAACTTGGACACATTGGCCACTATAGAGCCTTTGACGTCTTTGAGGAACATGGCCCTACCCAAGAGATTCAGCCTCACATGATACAGATGCATGACGATAATGTTTTCCCTTGCACCGCTCGTCCCAACAACCTTGTTCAGATTGTACATAATGCGTCAAGGACGGCTTTGAGGAACTCCTGGTTTCACCTGAAGCATGCGGCGCTGGCGCCATGCACTCCCGGCGGGGCCAATAGTGCCCAAGGGTCAATAGGACCTCGCGCGCCAGACTCGAGACTCTCGTGCGGCGTGTGAATGAAAATGGACCCTTCGTGGAGGAACGCGTCCAGTCTTCCCAGGGTTACTGAGAGAAGTGTTTGCGCCAAGTGGCTCGCTCAAGTAATAGAGGACGCGTGTTCTTGAGTGGCTGAGTTGACGTGGGGAGAAGGCGGTACCCCATGCGTGTGAAAACACGTTGTCTGTGCGCTGAGGTCAAGCTTTGCTGTTTGTGGATTTTTATCGAAATATACGCGTGAGTTTTCATAGGAGTTTTCGTATTGATGCACCTGATCTTTTTGAAAAGAGGAAATAAGTCCCAGATTGCTGGCAATTTGCAGGAACGGAGGATCTACTTTCTCTTCACGTTCATGCATCGACGAAGTAAAGAAGCACGGGAGGTCATCTCCATTATTCGTACTAGAAATTCTACCAAATGCTAGCATATTCCTATATGTGGATTGATGGCTTCTCTACAGCAATATGCCTGCCAAAACATCGGACAGAATCAATTATCAACCTGCAGTGCAGTCAAGAAGGAAACTTTGTTCCTAGGGATAATAACTTTCTAGTAGAGTCCAGCTATGGATCGCGCATACTTGCAGGCATACCTGCGAGTGCTTTCAGCTGCCCACTTGCATGTTCCAAATGTACTGTGTCGATTGTGGAGGAAATTGGTTTGCCGGTGTACGGCGCAGTGCTTTCCACGCCGCGAGAAGGAGTCCCGGCCTCATTTTTCAGTTGTGTGTCCAAGCCTGTGCCCTGGAGGCCCCGAAAACAGCGCTGTAGACGTTCGGACTGTTGGGCAGTTGTGTACGTCTCTCCCACAGTGCGCGGATGCACAGGATTTGTCGGAAGCAGGACCCCGTGGCGACACCTTAGCCTTACCTGAAGGCTCAGGCAAGTTAGTAAGTAGGCCATACGTCCACTTACCAGTCAGATTAACCAACTTGGGGAACTTATAACGTGACTTCTAAGCTACTTACTACGTTCCCTGCGCTTTCAAGGAGGTTCAATGCCACTGGTGGAGTCGTTTGGTCAAGGGTTGCTAGTGAATAGGAAGCCTGGCTGCTTTAGGGTTTAGGGTTTAGGGTTGTATGGCTCAGCGGGTCCATGTTTCCTGCTGGCACGCCATTTCTTCCGGCCGTAAGCAAGCGAGTGCAAACATGAGGCGCATTGCTGCACGCATAAAGCACGTACTTACAGGCTTCAGCGTGAGTAGGCGCAAATCCCATCAGGCATGTTTTCTTCTCTTTCCGGCGACATGATTGTCTTTCAATGAGTATCATGTGGTTCCCCACACCATGCCGTATATAGGTTTTGCCCATTATCGAGCAACAATTTAGGCAAATTCCCACATGAATCCTTTGGCGACGTGGACGCTTAAGTCTAAGTGGGAACCTGAGTTTGGGGGTACCCTTCGTAATGCTCACAACCAAAAAGCCCATTCAGTCAAAACGCGTTCCTGAACAACTGACCTAAACCCTATACGAACCCTGTACCCTAAAGCCTAAACCCCGAACCCAGACCCTAAAGACTTACTGTGCCATACACCACCTTGTGTTCTCAAAAAACCTTAGTTAAAGTTTGGGATGGCAGCCCCAGCCCTAAAACGAGACAAATCTTCAACACCTTCTTCAGCCGTGGTTTGGAGTTTTGGGTTTAGGGCCTAGGGTTTAGGCTTTAGGGTTAAGGGTTTACGGTCTAGGGTCCAGAGTTGAGGGTTTAGGGCTGACGACAGTTTTCGAGATGTTGGTTCAAGTTCGTGGCCTAAAGGGCTAGATGAGGATCAGGCTTAGGGTTCAGGGGTAGGGAATTGATACGGCTCAGGTTTTAGGGCATTGCAGACATTCGGGCCCAGAGAAGCTTTCAAATATGTAGTAGCATATACATATAGAGCTACATTCATTTTTATTTCAGCTACATGTAAACACTTAGAGCTCAAGTGTTTGGGATTGCGACTTTCGAATTTCCGGCTTAGATGCCAAGCATGTACTGATCAGACCATGACCCCTTCTGCATGGCAGTGGACGCGGCCGCTGTTGAGGAGGCACGTGTGGGGGTTTACATTGTATGCAAGTCATTGCGAGCCCTGTCTAAGACACACACACACACACACACTCCCTCTGGACCCTCAAATCTAGGTCCAGGTCCTTTTTCGTATCATTTGTTTTCTGTTTAGGTTAATTACTTGTAGTCACAGTACTTCCCACAAAGGCATTACATTTGAGTCTCTCGGCCGGTTGATACCCGCCACTGAGACCCTCGGTCGTCTAAGTAGATGTTTAAGAAACCTCTACAATAATACTAATGAAATGACAAAATAGTAAGAATGATAATAGTAATTATAGTAGTTTTAATCATCATACTGATAGTATTACTAATGATAGTAGAAAATGACAATGATAATCATCATACTGATAATAATAATAGTAAGAATGATAATAATCATAATAATAATCATAAAAATAATGATAATAATGATAATAATAATATTAATAATAACAACAATAATAACAATAATAACAATAAACATAATATTGATAAAAATCATAATAATAAACATAATAATAATATGAATACTAATAAAAATAATAACAATAGTAACAATAACAATAATAATAACAATAATAATAATGATAATATTGACGATAATAATAATATTATTCATAATGATATTAATGATAACAATAATAATAAGAATGACAATAATAATAACAATGATAATAATAGTAAATAATAATAATAAAAACAATAATAATAATAGTAATAATAATAATCATGATAATAATGATAATAATAATAATAGTGATAATGATAATGATAATGATAATAATAATAATAATAACAGCAATCCAAATATGAGCAGTTGCATGCCATAAACGGCTGTTTCAAAAAACACACTAGAATAACCAGTAGGATCCTGTCTTACCCCTTGCTGGGGTACCTAGTTTTATAATTATAGGACCCTGTGTGCAACATCAGGTTACCAACAGCAGGGGTAAAATTTTTAACTTGCAGGTACGCTGGAAACTCTGTTGATGAGGGCAGAGGACTTGAGAACTGAAGTTTCACCAAGCTTGCTACAAACCCCTTGAACTTGGTCCTAAGTCGCATACACTTCTTCTGGCTTCATGTGTAACTACTTCGTAAGTTCCCTGCCCCTTCAGGTACACCTAGGATCCTGCAATTTGCCCTTCCCTCAATCTGGCCGCCTGAAATTGGTCTGGCATCTTGAGTAGTTTCCCTATATGATTGTCAGAAGGAACAGGAGGATGTCCCAGACCAGAATGAGGAGACCTGGTTGAGGGCAAACTGAAGTCTGGAGGCAGCACCGGAAGAAGCCGGAACTGCTGTGCCGGAGGAGACCACTGAGGCACAGCGTTCACGCCGCCTGCTTCCTTTAACCCTTATGGTCCAAGGTGTCCAGTTGAAAGGTAGGTAGAGCTCGTATACTAATTAAAACTGAAACTCTGACCTGGTGCAAGTATTCTGTAAAGAGCACGACAATAGAGAGTTGAGACTCAAACATCGCTCTTGCTCTCTTCTGCAAAGCTCGACCCATGGCATAAGCGGGCCTGTGACCAGCAATTTCTGCTCACGGACGTACCCTCGTTGGAGTTCCGAGACATACTCCAAATATGGGTATAGGGTTTAGCCACGCCACAGAGCCAGCTGTTTTCCTGAAGAAGCACGGTTGGGTCCCTTTGCAGCAGCAGCCCTGGTGATTCGTTTGACTCGGGCCAAAAGTAGGTCGTGGCAATTTTTCGGATGAGGTTCACCCTCAATGCTGAAGGCCCCAAACCCCAAACCCAAAACCCTGAAACCTAAACCCTAAACCCTCAAGACCCTAAATCCTAAACCTTGAAACACGTGGAGGCGGTCGCTGTGGAACAGCAGAGCTCGATGCAGGAGGAGTCGGCCGAGGCACAACGGTTTACGGGTTGAGGGTTGAGGGTTTAGGGTTTAGGGTTGTGCATTTTTGCTGGTTTGGGCCATTCTAAAGACTACACCCCAAACCCTATAATCTCTGGTTTGGGCATGTAATTGTTTCTTTGTTTTTTGAGCGGCCGCAGAGAATTCAGCTGTTTTGGGGTAGTAGGGGTTTGAGCGTGTTTGTAGTAGAGGAGCACGGGAGGTGCTAGGGATTTAAGGTGTGGGGGTCTTGAGTCTTGGGGCTCTAGGTAATTCATGGGTTTCAGTTTCAGGGCTTGTGTGTTCAGAGTTGCAGGGGATTAAGCATCATCCTCCCATTTTCAAGCTGGGACCCTAGGTGGCGCGAACAGACACCTCTGCCAAGGCCACGGTTTCGACGGACCTCTGAGCGCAGGATACTTTGGGCACCCTAGACCCTGAACCCCTAAACCCCTGAACCCGTATAAACCCTAAACCCTGATCTAAACACTAAAACCTATAAACCCTAAACCCTAAGACCTTTCAGACCCTTAAGACCCTAAAGACCGTAAAACCCAAAACCACGAAGCAAAAAACGTGGAGGCGGCCGCTGTGGAACAGCAGAGCTCGATGCAGGAGGAGGCGGACGAGGCACGACGGTTTAGGGTTTAGGGTTTGAAAGGGTGCAGGGTTTGGGGTTTGGGGTTTGGGGTTTAGGTCTAGGTTTCTGCGTTTTTGGTGGTTTTGGCCATTCTAAAGACTAAACCCCAAAGCCTATAATCCCTGGTTTGGGAATGTAAATGTTTGTTTGGTATTTGAGCGGCCGCCGAGAATTCAGGGGTTTTGGGGTAGTAGGGATTTGAGGGTGTTGGTAGTTGAGGAATATGGGGGTGTTAACTGTTGGGGATTTAAGGTGTGGGGGTCTTGGGGGTCTAGGTATTTCATGGGTTTCAGGGATTTGTGTGTTAAGATTGTAGGGGTTTAAGCATCATCCTTCCATTTTTCAAGCTAGGACTTTAGGTGGCGCGAGCAGACACCTCTGCCAAGGCCATGGTTAAACCCTAAACCCTAAACCCTAAAGAACCTAAACCCTAAACCTCGAAACACGTGGAGGCGGCAGCTGTAGAAGAGCAGGGCTCGATGATGCCTTTTGCACCAAGGCAAGATGGGGGCAAGGCTGTGGGACCCAGCCCCTTCGGGGATTCATAAAAGCAAAACAGGTTCCTCTTCAAGAGATTCGACCCGAAGGATTTGGCACGGTCATGTGTTGAAGGGCCAGAAATGGTGAACGCCGCTGACGGCTTCCACGAGGAGGTGGCCAAGGCACAACGGTTTAGGGTTTAGGGTTTAAAAGGGTGCAGGGTTTAGGGTTTAGTGTTTAGGGTGTCTAGTGTTTAGGGTTTTGGGTCTATAGGGTTCAGGGTTTATATAGGGTTTAATTAGGGTTTAGGGTTTAGGTTTGTGCATTTTGGGTGGTTTGGGCACTCCCATATTCCTCAAAAAACAACACCCTCAATCCGATTGCATGGGTTTGAGGGCTTTGTGTGTTAAAGTTGTAGGGGTTCAAGCATCATCCTCCCATTTTGAAGCTGGGACTCTAGGTGGCGCGAACAGACACCTTTGCCAAGGCCACGGTTTCGACGGACCTCTGAGCGCAGGTTACTTTGGGCACCCTAAACCCTGAACCCCTAAACCCGTATAAACCCTAAACCCTGAACCCATAAACCCAAAAGCCTATAAGCCCTAAACCCCAAACCCATGAACCCTCAAGACCCTTAAGACCTTTCAGACCCTTAAGACCCTTAAGACCTTAAAGACCCTAAAGACCGTAAACGCAAAACCCCGAACAAAAAAACATGGAGGCGGCCGGTGTGGAACAGCAGAGCTTGATGCAGGAGGAGGGGGCCGAGGCACAACGGTTCATAAGGTTTAGGGTGTGTAGGGTTTAGGGTTTAGGGTTTGGGGTTTAGGCTCTTGCATTTTTGGTGGTTTGGGCCATTCTAAAGACAACCCCAAAGCCCATAATCTGTGGTTTGGGCATTTTATGGTTCTTTGATATTTCTGCGACTGCAGAAGATTAAGGGGTTTTGGGGTAGGAGGGGTTTGAGGGTGTTGGTAGTCGGGGAATATGGGGGTATCAGGGGTGTAGGGTGTGGGGGTCTTAGGGGTTCAGGAGTTCATGGGTTTCAGGGCTTTGTGTTTTAAGGGTTGTAGGGGTTTAGGCATCCTCCTCGCCACGAAAACGCATCATTTTGGGGTCGGCGAATGCTTTGTTTTCTTACTATTCCCCTACTAGTGGCGCAAGTTCGCTGCTCGCAAGGTCGTCTGCGTCCCACTTTTGATAAGGGATTGGCGTGCGGGTTTCTCAGGTCGTCAAGCTCTTTTTTTGGGAAGTTGAGAGCAAAAAGAGTCGCAAGAGGCCGCGGCCCACTTTCCATGGTGGGACGTCTACGTGTGAGTTGATTCTTCAAGCGCTCGCGGCCCAAACCCGAAGGTTCTGGAATTGACTCTGCCTTCAACTCGGAGCCCTGAATCCGACCCTCGGAACCCCAAGCCTCCCTCGTTCCCGTGTTTGTTCAGGCAGACGCGGCCAAAGACCCAGAACAGCCGCTCTCCTGGAATGGCAGAGGTTTTCGGTTAACTTTGGGATGACACATTTGGATCCTGACAGCGTGTGGGACGCATAAGACAGTCACGACCACTGAAGTATTCGTTTTGAGGCGACAGCCGTGACGATCATGTGACTTGCTGTACCGCATCATGTGTAAATCTGTGAAGGTCAAGACATTTGCAGAGACTTGCTAGGTGATCCTTGGTGCCATTTTGCTATAGTTTTCGTGCACGGAGACTCCCACGCATGCCGCCCGCTGAGATCGCCCCATTGTCAGGCCGCCACTTCCAAACCTGCTGCAGAGCCTGAAGGCCTGGCACAGTACCTAGACCTCCTACATACCCAAAATAATGGCCTATATAGCCATTACTTTGAGGTTAAAGGCTATTATTTCGGATATTTGGGAGGTCTAGGTACCCGTATTGCCCTCAGAAGTTGTTTTTCATTTCTATAATGGGGATTGGCTATGGTACGCGCACCACGCACCCTGCGCTAGTGTCCCCAGGATTGGCTCCTAGCGGTGAGTCTGTCCTTGCCCTGAGGCTCGAAAGTATGCAAAACGAGGCGATGCTAGGCAAATACTTCATTTAGCAGTTTCTAGGAGCCGCCCCAAAAGTTGACCTGTTAGCTTCCTTTAAAAGGAAATCCAAAAAGTTGAAGTCCTAACAGCCAGGCAGAAGACAGCTAAGATACTGGTTAGCTATGTGGACCTTCAGGCCCCAGCATTCCCCTATGGACGGCCGGTGGCGTCAAGCCCCCCGCATTCCGGAACGGATGGTATCCTGAAACGGCGTCCCGCAGACTTAGAAGGGTTTTTGAATCTACGCACGCAAGCTGAAATAACAAGCACGTACGAGAGAAGGGTTGTGGTTGGTTACGGTCGGCGTAAACTTGAAGGTTGGGACTCGGTTCGTGGTCTCGAGAGGAACTTCCTTTTAGAAAGGCCTCGAGACACCCGGCTGGTCCGATACCACCCTGTTGCCGGGAATCAAGATCAGCCAACAAAGGATGTCAGCCATCATCCTACTACCTACTTGAAGGGCCAGGGAACTTGGTGAGTAGTTCTGGACAAGGCCATAGGTTATGTATGGGTTCCTTCGAACTTCAGGGACTTAATTGGCTGGTTATAACCTAGTTCCAACGTCTTAATAGGCAGGAAAATCTGGGAACCCAGAAGGCAACCCCATAAAAACCCTTTGACACCCACCTGGCTGAAACTCGGCACCCGGACCGAAACCCGAGGTAATGCTTCTTCTTTTTTTTTATTATCATTGTGATTATTATTATGATTGTTGTTGTTGTTGTTGTTGTTGTTGTTGGTGTTGGTGTTGGTGTTGTTGTTGTTGTTGTTATTGTTATTAGAATAATAATAGTAGTAATAATATTTTTGACTATTATCATTATTGTTGTTATTATTATCATCATTATTGTTATTATTTATTGTTATTATGATTATAATTATCATTAAAATTATTATCGTTATCATTATTATTATGGTTATTATGATGATTATTATTATGATTATTATCATGCTTATTATGATTATTATGACTGTTATGACTATTATTATTATTGTTATTGTTATTGTTATTGTTATTGTTATTGTTATTGTTATTGTTATTATTGTCATTATTATTGTTATTGTTATCATTATTATTCTTATTATTCTGTTTGTTATGACTATTATGATTATTAGTATTGTTATTACTATGATTATTATTATGATTGTTATGATTATTGTTTTTAGAATAATAATAATAATAATAAGTATTATTATCACTATTGTTATTGTTCTTATTTTTGGTATTATCATTATTATCATCATTATTATTGTCATTACTATTGTTGTTACTATTATCATTATTATTGTTGTTCTTATTATGGTTGTTATCATTATTATCATCATCATTATCGTTTTTGTTGTCATCATTATTATTATCGTCATTATTATTATCATCATGATTATGATCATCATTATCGTTGTTATTATTATTGTTATTATTATTATTGTTATAAAAATGGTTCCCCAGCCTCACAAGAGGGCCCCAAACTGCTTGGGGTCCACGCCATTTGAGGGCAAGGTGAACTTGCAAACCCTGAACCTTGAACAGGTTCTTGCGGCTGCGCGGCCTGGCCCCAAGCTATTGAATCTCGCGCTTGAATGCAACTTTAAGCGTGTTCGACTGCTTTCACAGGTACTTCCGACAAAAAACGTGGAAGTACACAGGCATCGGGCTGGATAGGTGTTGAATGGCAACATGTTTGACAGTAAAATCTCGCGTGGAAGGCCGCCAATGCTCACGCAAAGCTGGGCGCCTGGTTGTTGCACTGTAAGCACAGACAAGTCGCGCACTCAAGTTGCAATCCTGCACCGGAAATCGGAAGAGGGGTCTCATTGGGTCGGGGCCCGTACGATGCGACAGGAGCCCGCCACGCTGTGGTTATAACTTGGACATCGGTTCCTGAGGTCAGCTCTCGGACTCAAGTAGGTTCACTTACACAGGTTGGACCTCCTGAGGTGCTCACGTATTCCGTGGGCGCCCTGATTGCTAGGGCTCTAAAACACAAGGCTTGTCGAAGTGTAGAGCAAATCAGAAGTTTGCACCACTCCGCTGGGCTAGAGGGGTTGGCAACGAACCGAGACAGTGCCTGACACTTGAGGTGAAAGGCTTACGCCAAACAGATTTACACAGAAGTATCTACCCCTTCTCTCGGGCATTCTCGGGCCAAAGATGCGACGTCTGCGTCTGGGGAACAGAGGCACATATGGCTTGCAAACTTTCCCGTTCTAGCCCTGGGCTTGAGACGGACAAACACTTTTAAAGAGTTTGACATGACACGTCAAAAACCAGACTAACCGAAAGGCTTGCAATCCCATCTGAAAAAACAGAAAAATCGAAGGTATTGTCTTCATTTGGTGTTTGGATGAGGTTGGAAAAACACATTTCAAGGTTTTTCCACAACCTTCCTGTCGGACGCAGAGAAGATGTGGAAAAGAGGTTTACTGATGTGGAAAGTTCCCACGACAGAGAACACTTGCCTTTCCGAGGTGGGTTTTTGATCCGGGTGGGCGAACCTGCCGGGATCTGCATGCGCCACGTCCCTAGAAGTTTTGTGGGGTCTCCGTACTTGAACTATCGAAAATTTCTGAGGTAATTCGGCTTCAGGACCCGGCCTGCGTTTGCCTATGTTACCGGTGTTGGCCTCAAGCTGTCCTGCCTTTGCAGGACCCATAGCAGGGCCTCGAGCTCAGCGATCCCGCGAGGGTTGAAAGTGTCCAGTTTCTGTAATCTCCTCGCCGGAATACCAAATACCCCCCCCTATATTCGATAGTGCCATTTTACGACAGATTCCTATATTGAGAATATTTGATATCAGGGGGGTGGGGGGGTTTGATATTAGGGGAGGGGGTTAGTGTGCTTGCAAGTCCGGATGCCAAGTGCATGCATGCAACGGCCCAGGTCGGTGTGCATAAAGTTTTTCAAGCTTTGCCGGGCCGGGTCCGCAGCCAGCCTGCAAGATTTGTCACTGAAAAGCCGGGGATGTGCGGCAAATCAGAAAGTTGTCTCGGGATGACGGCGCAATCCGCAAAATCGAGTCTCCCAAACTATCAACTGCAGGTCGCCTATGTCTCCAAGTCTGGAGGCATGTCCAGCAAACTGGCCTCCTCGCCGCGCTTCATTTCAGAATAAGGTTTCACGGTTGTTCAGGGCCAGGTGCGGTGAAACTGCCGCATCTTACTGATGTGCCTGGCAACGCGTGGTGGAACAGTCGTTCTCTGACACAACTGAAAGCGGTCGAAGAGGCGCTGAGGGTTGTTTTTTCAATCGGCACCTTCTTTTCGCGACGCACTTGAGCGAGAGCCAGAGCGAGCGTCAGAGCGGTGACATTTGCAGTGAACAGAGCGCACTGGAAGATGTACAAACAGAGTGCCGGCCGGCCGGGTAGGGCACAATTTTGCATGTAAACTTGCGGACATTCAAATTTCAAGCACTTGTTTGTCCCGCGACAGCAAGCAGCGACTGTACATGCATCTGTGGGCAATAACAGTCCTTACTCCATCCCTTGTGTACCTGTGGCCAGAACAGCACCATCTGCTGCAACTCCAACGGCGTGTGCGAGGGACTTGCCGTTGGTGGAGACAGGCCGATCAGCTGGTGCCACCTGTTCCTGGCAAAGAAAGCAGTTTTGTGACTTCCACGATGATCCGATGATCCTTAGGACTCTTGCGTGTGCACAGCCAAATAGACAAGAATTCAAGTACTGTTGACGGAACAGAATTCTTTTTGGCCCTGAAGCATAGGCGCTATTCTTAAAAGCTGTAGAGAAAACTGAAAGCCACATTCGTGAAAAATGTTGCCAGGTATCCGGGCACCCTCTTCATTGATCACCTCCTTTGCTGTCAGGAGCCCTTCCGTGGGCCAGACAGAATGATCCTTTCCGAGCGGAGGTATAGTTGCTTGTGACGTGATTTTGATCGCTTGTGTCGTTTTTGGTTTTTATCGTTTCTGCCATGTTTTCGTCGTTCAAGCAAATTCGGTTTTGGCCCATAGTCGTTCGTTTGCGACGGTTCTTTTGCTACTACTGTACCAAATACAGGCTAAATGCTCTGGTTATCGGATGCATTCGAAGAGTTTAGTTTAGAGTCTAGGGCTCAGGATTTAAAGGGTTTGGGATGTAGGGAGTGAACCCAACCTTGGAAGACAGTCCAGGATGCACCTGGAGCAAAGATCTTCCTCGAGGCGAGGTTGGGGCCTGCGCCTGCTCGTGAAAGTTAGCCTGCCACCGTAGGCCATAGACGTGAAGATGATTTTACCCTTTCGGGCATGCGGGCCCAAGAGAAGCCCAAAGTGGTGTGCGCAGGTGGGTGGCCAGGATGAGTATGACGCTTTCAAGGTGGCCAACTCGGGATGCATGGACAAGCCAGGCGCCTGCGAATTTTTTTGCATGCGTGGAGTTACTTGTGTTTCTCTTGGGGAGTGCTGGTCTGGAGTCGGATACACCTGCATTGGAGCTGTTGGAGATCCAAGTCTCCGCAGCTACTTGAAGGCTCAGGGAACTTAGTAAGTAAATTATAAGTCAGGTTATGAGTTCCCTTAGTTGGCTTATCCCATTTGTACATGGACTTATAGCCGACTTACTCAGTTCCTTGAGCCTGCAAGTAGCCTTTCCAAACGATATACGCCAAACCCCTACAAACAAATTCCTAAATTTGACACCCTAAACCCAGACCCTAAACCCCAAACCCTAAAAAAAAACAAAACCCTAAACCTCAAACCCTAAACCCCAGACCCTAAACCCCAAAACCCTGAACCCGGTTCCCAAGTCCCAATACCCTTGCAGGTGCAGTCATCGCTTGGTGCGTCGGCACCTGTGCCTCGTGCTTTGCGGCCGAGGCCCGTTGATGGGCCCAGGGAATGCAACACTTCTTAATTCAGGAAATTGCGTTTAATCATATTGGGGTTTACGTTTGGGGTCTAGGCTTCAGGGTTTAGGGTTGAGGGTTGAGGGTTTAGGGCATATTCAATACACCTTAAGTAAGGAAAATACCCTGAATCAGATTAGGAATCACCTATGGGTTTAAGGCATGTTTATTCGGTGTCTCTATATGGTTTAAGGCATAATCCTTAGTTGAGGGGTATTGGGTTCTCTAGGGGCTGCTCGGGTGAATTCGGAAAGAACCATCAAAAGGGAACTGGCTGACGCGAGAACCAAGGGCTCAGCTCCAAGGAAGACAGGCGTGACCCCTAATCCCATTTCCTGATGTAACCAATATATTCCTTATACCCCATATACCTAGGTAGTCCCTATAAAACCCCTTCAAGTCAATAGGGTCCCTTATTAGGGGTCCCTCCCAGAGTCCCCAAATCAGCGGCAAGACTTTGAATTGCGGGATTCTCACTTTCAGCGCCACAAGAGCAAAAACTGAGGTTGGTAAAGCCGCGCTTCAGATGGCGTGCTCTTGGCACTTGGCAACTAGGTTCGAAAACGTAAACTCTAAACCCTCAACCCTAAACCCTAGACCCTGGACCCTAAACCCTAAACCCCAAATTCTAAACCCTAAACCCCAAATTCTAAACCCTTCAACCCCAAATTCTAAACCCTAAACCCTAGACCCTAGACCCTAGACTCTAGACCCTAAACCCCAAACCCCAAACCTCAAACCTTAAACCCTGAACACGAAGATTTGTGGGGTGGGCATGCCTGGGCTTTACGCGTGGTGCTTGGAGGTTCAGGGTACCTATAACCTAGTTATAACTGTAGTTACAATCCACTTATAAACCTCCTAAGTACAGTAACCCAGGCTATAATTGGGTTAGAAGTACAGTTATAAAGCAGTTAACCCTAAACCCTAAACC